TTTTCGTCTTAAAGCGCTGTGTTTCTGGCTCATCACAAACGACATTACAATTGAGGAAATCTAATCTTATTATTGTATCGGTCATAGCTGTAGGCTACAAAGTGATATTTGAAATGTTGAGATCAAACTGGATCTGGGCGTCCTAGCACTAGAAATACTATCGGAGAGTGATGTTTTCGGCATCGACGAATAGGCTAAAGCCATATAAAACTGATCACCATTTACATCGATTTTTGTCGTCGGTGGCAAGCTCAGCAAACTGAACCGAAGGGTGAAAATCACAAGCGTCTAGCCTTGTTAGAAAAGCCTGTAACGCGGTGGTCCACGATCATAGAAACTTGGTCAGCATCTCATTGAAGGGGCTATCTAATAATATGGTTGAAAAGCTTCTGAGAGAAACTTTAAGATCACTAGGTTTTCTAGACAACCGGATTTTCCGGAAATCTCCGTCTCAAGACCCTGAGGTGTTGCATAACTTTTCTCTAACAAAATATATAGAACTCGATGCGCTCTTTCATTTGATACCGGTTTCAAGGTTCTACGTTAGAGAATATGGTCAGCAGCCGTTCCATCAGTTAAGCCAAATCTGCCGGAAAATGACGAAATTGCAGTTTTCCGCTGCGAGGGTAAAATGGCTGTAGCTCTTTTTCTAATAAGGCTAGACACCCTTCGGTTCAGTCTGCTGAGCTCTATCATTTGAGGTACGTCTCGCCACTGACGTCAAAGATCGATGTAAATGGTGATCAGTTTTATATGGCTTTAGCCTATTCGTCGATGCCGAAAACATTATTCCGGTAGTATTTCTAGTACTACGACGCCCAGATCCAATTTGATCTCAACATTTCAAATATCATTTTATCCATCCAAACAATAAACTTCACAGGGATTATTTATGAGCATTTATGTTTTTTAATATATTTTTGATCTGGATCGACTCTAATCATAACACATATTCTTAACCAACTTTTCTTTAATTTCATTAGAGACAACATGAGATCTGCTCAGAAAAAGAGAGTTTGTGTACTGATCAAGGCAAATCAGTTCAAATTTGCGACAGTCACGTTTTTCTTATTTTTACTTTTATTCTTTATTTTCATTTTTATCTTTACTCGTTTATTTTTTACTGTTTTTCCGCATTTTTATTAGATTAAAAATCAACTAAGAATTATACGCCATTTTCTCGCGCACCAGCTGATCTCGCACCGATAGTTTGAGGAAAAGAAGAAGAATAAGAAGTGGAGTCTCTAGAAAAATAAGTTTTTCACTTGACAAGGGCGAAGAAAGAGGGAAAGGGGAATTTTTCAGGGTGTTATTCACCCACTCGATTGATGAAACCTTAGAAGGCGAACACATTATTGACTTCCGCCTCAATTTTAATTCACCGCGAATAAAACACACGAGACGGTATTGTTCTTGACTATTGATTTGCATTTCGCAGAGTACATCGCGCAAAACAAATAATTACTGCACTATGTAGTCATGAAAAATGTTCATGTGCCGGTGAACTGCTATAGTAAGCAGTTGCCGCCGAAGTACGTTTTGCGCATAAAAAAATATTCTTTTAGTGAAGTCTATCGGGACTTAAATCTCATTTTATCATACTTTGTCAATTACCTGAAAATGAAACGAAACCAAACCGCGGCACAATGTGGTTCACTCAGAACCATTTTCAGTGCACAGTTTGGGGTGATACGTTGAGATTTTCAGAAAGTCGTCGGAGATATGCAAAAAAATCCAGTTAAAAGACAGCTGTATCTTCACCATTGATGAGCGTTTGCGTATTTCTCGGGCCACAGCATGTACACATCCTCTAATCACCCAAAGTGACTGGGCTTTCGCACTTCCAAAAAGCTTCCATGTTATAAAGATACATTGATTGTAAGTAGTAGTGGTAATGGAGCGTCGATATTCATTTAGCGTATGACATCAATATTTGGTTTAAGTATAAATTGGAAACGAATTCAAATGTACAGTTGTATGTATAGCTTTTCGATTTCGCGGAGCTGTTGTAAACAATATGTAATTCTGTAGTCGTCTTACCAGGTGTAATTACCGCGTGATATAATGCTTTTTTGTTTCGGTGTTAAATTGATCGTCGACCTTTCTGATAATCCCTTTTTCGAGCTGGTTGTTGATCACTGCATCATACTATGCGAAAAATTGTGGTTGAGTCTTGTAACGATGTAATTGCGGTTTTGACCGACCGAGCGATAATTGATAATTTATTTTATTTACTTTCGGCGCTAGTATCTGAAAACTAATGTCACCACGAGCTTCCAGTTTGGTAGAAGACACTTCAGACTATATATGCCTCCAAAATATCCCAGTTGAATGTCGGAACTCTGAGCTAGTTTTCCAAAGATCTTTTGAAAAACCGCTTTCGACAATTGTTTAGAAGTCGGTTTCGACCAATTTATTTTCTACCTTTTCGGGATCGAGTCGACGAGAGGTAACTGCTCATATAAAATACCGAATTTTTTAAAATCAGCTGGTGATTGTTGTATATTGCCCGTAATTTTGGAACGATGTTAGCCGATTGATTAAAGAAACGTCCGTCTAATAATTTTATTTACCAGCGCTTATGAAATATAACTATGCTGACCCCTGCAATCGAGAATCGAACGCCCCAAGATACTATTTTTGTCTACCGTTACGTTTTGAACGATCGTCGTCGCAGTCTGCAGTAAAACATATTCGCCAGACGCTAATAATGAACTTTCCAAAGTTGCTTGCGGTTCAGCAGAATTCTTGTCACTTTCGTGGAAGATCTCATATAAGAATTGAGTAAGATTCTTATAAGATACTTGGAAGATTGTTATATAAGAACCCATGACTAGAGAATAGAAGAGGACAAATGGATAGTGAGAGTAATTCACCTGCCGTTCTCCCTCCGCGATGAGCCAGGCGCCGGTCTATATGCTAATATACAATCAGAATCTTCTGAGTCAAAGTGTAGTTCGAGGAACGCTCAAACGTCGAGTTGCTCATATGTCAGGTGATGTGCTTATTGTCACGTTCAGTAAAGTTTTTACATGTGAGCGCCAACAACTCGGGAACCGGAAACATGAGCACGAAGAAACTTGAGCACGGAAAGATGAGCACGGGAAAGTTGAGCACTAGGAAATATGGGCACTAGGAAAATTGGGCACGAGGAAAGTTGAGCATTAGGAAACATGAGCACAAATTTATAGATTATCCAGTAAATTTTGTATCGGAAACAGTTGAAAAAATTTAAGAGAAAGTTAGTTTAATCAATTTCTTCGATATACTATTATATGAAATATTAAATTTTTTATCAGATGATCAACAAAGAAAGAAATATTTATTTTATAAGCAAATATTATGTGCAATATTATTTAGTTGCATAAGAATATCATCATGTGGATGCAATAAAAGATTTAAAAGACGCCGTTCAAACCGTTCATTTGTTTTACTTTTATGTTTTGGTGCTTCACCACTATTTATATGAACAACATCAGCATGCGTTGCATGTTCTTCATGAATTAGTTTTTGTAAAAATGACCAAAGCGTAGGATGTGCGCATTGAAATACACATCGTATACGACGATGCCATGCTTCCACAGAATTATTTGTACGCATCGATAATTGTGTTGTTCTTGTATGCATATTCCAAAATTCAATACTAAATGTTGGTTGACGTCGTGTATTTAATAATTTAAAGTATCTTGGTAATCATCATCAAGATCTAATGCAAGACGTGAATATGCAGGTAATACATCACAAGGTGGAATAAAAGCTAACGCAGCTATTTTATTAATATTATGAGCAAATTTAACATCTTCTTGATAACGATTCTGATAACCTAATGTCTAATATACAAAAACAAAAGTTATACATTGAAGAGCAAACATATTCTATTCGAACGTATTTTTATACTAAAGTACTTCAATGTTACCTGAAGTTGTCGATGCAGATTTTGGCGAAAATGGAAATAACAACCAGATAATGATATATTAACGAAACTACTGTCATATATATTAATACATGCCTTTTCGAAATCAAGTAAAATAGAAGCAGGGAACCAGCATGGAGCAAGTTCTACTATTTCATTTATAAGACGTTGATATGTATCACTATTTTTACGACTGAGTAATGAATAGACAACTGGTACAACATATCCACGATAGATGGCATGTACAACATATACTTGATAAAAAATCTCAGGGACAACCTAAACATAGGAATATTTACTTTTACTTCACTCAACTGAAATTTCCATCGAAACCCAAGAAATATCTACTTCTATACATACTTTAAATGTACCATCAACAAGAAATCATCACATGATTGTAAAATATCTAATTGTTCAGAACTGGCAAATATTAACATTCGATCTGGTCCTGTTGAAAAGAAAAATTAATTATTAAGACAACAATTCTATTAATGAAATGAAAAATTCTTAGACATAACTGTATGGTGGCATTACCTGGTCCCGTATCACAACGTAAAAATTTATCACCGCGAGATGTTACGGTTAAAGCTGTTGGAACATTTGGAAAATTAAGATCATTTGGGGCTGATGGAAGCTTTTTATCTTGACGTAACATTCTAATGCGACGTTTAATATTATCACGTGATGGTAAACGAGCTAATGCTTCGTCCGACATTCCGATACAACAATGTGTTATAATTAAATCAGGTGTTTCCTGTGTATTCATTGTACGATACCAAAGATCTTCATTAAACTTTCGAAGTTCACCTGTAATACCATTACTTTTGCATGTATGATCAGAAGGTGGAGTTATAACATTATTGGTAATATTACATGTATGAAGACGAGCATGACATTTTTGAGAATTATAATATATACAACGCCAATATGTTTTATTTTCAGTAAATCAATTTTTTATGTACGAAAAACCTTGGAGTTCAAGACGAGGTTTTTGTTTAGTAGTACATGATACTGATGTAGATATTGTTGTAGACATATTTTTGCTGTAGAGAAAGTGAGTTGATAAGTGAAAGTGAATTGTGAAAAAAGTTATGAATACATGAATAGTATATTGAATAGTATATTGAATTTATATTACATCAATTATCCCGATTAATAATATATTGATTAACTTGTCAGCAACTCTATTTTAAATTTTTGCAACTGTTTGTTTTCAACAAATTATTAAAATTCCTATATAGATGACTTTTCGACAACAGTATATTAAATAAATTGATTAAATTAACTTTCTCTTAAATTTTTTCAACTGTTTATGATACAAAAAATTTAATGGATAAACTATAAATTTGTGCTCATGTTTCCTAGTGCTCAACTTTCTCGTGCTCAAGTTTCCTCCTGCTCAACTTTCCTCGTGCCCAATTTTCCTAGTGCCCATATTTCCTATATAGTGCTCAACTTTCCCGTGCTCATCTTTCCGTGGTCAAGTTTCTTCGTGCTCATCTTTCACCCACCCCAATAACTCCTAGTTGATATTCCCAGGAGTTCCAATAGCCATTCACTTTTATTTTTGAAGAAGGAAAGGGGAGAATTCATTGTATAGCTCTAATTTTATCAGTTATGAAGTTATTCTCTTGTTTATACGAACAGATGAAGCCGACGAATTATTTCGTAAATTGCTTAGTCAGTATATTCTAATTCTACTTTAAGATAAAAGGTGTCTTTGCTGATCTGAAAGAATTAGTTGAACACATATTAAATGATCAAAAAATCCAAAGAATGATTGAAAATGAGACAACACCGGTGAACTTTTTCACTCGTTCAATTGCGCGTTCTTCAAATACCCCTAAAAAGGAAAATGGTTCATTTATGTGGTTTCATTATTCATCGATGTTTTACTTCGAATGAAACATTCTCGATCTGCTAAAAACGAACTGATATAAATCTGCAAGTCGCACTACGTTGACAATATGACGATGGCCTCTCTTGATCGTTTTGATCAAACGTATACACGTAAAAATGGAATATTTTTGTACTCAAAAGAGCTTTCGATTCTCGATTGCAGGGGTCAGCGTAGTTATATTTCATAAGCGCTGGTAAATTGCGACTGAAAAATAAAATTATTAGACGGACGTTTCTTTAATCAATCGGCTAACATCGTTCCAAAAATTACGGGCAATATAAGGTGCCGCTAATTCAAAAATCAAGCACTCTTCATTTTTCCTTGAAAGACACATCATCCGATGCAGAATTTTGTGCTGATTACGAATATCACCTTTTTAGTTCGATTTGTTTGAGTTTTGTG